GGTGGTGGTCCTGGGCTCAGGGGTCCTCAGTTCTGACCCACATCAGACTGGGCTCTGGTCTTCTACTTTGCCAGCCTGAGACCTTAGACATAACACTGAAAAGACTCAAATGTGACAGACATCTGGTATGATAACATATGGAACAACTGTAAAATATCTGTCATACTGTGTTACTAATTATATTTTATTATCACACATTCACATGCAGTAGTATTTTACTGCACTCAAAATGATTCCTCTAGAATTAGGTTGCTGTGGGAACAAAATCAAATTCAAGAAAACTTGCACTAAGCATGCCATGCATGGGACTAGGAGATGCCAGGGGTACAGAGATGAATGACCCAGGCCTTGTTCCCCAAGAGCTCACAGCCTGCCGGGTCCCAGGCAGCAGCCAGGCACTCCAGGCTGCGACGCCATAGGCTGTGTGCTGATACGGGTCACAGTGCCAGAGAGTCACTCCCTTTGGCATCTCTCCTCTCTCCACCTATTAATATTTCAGACAGTTTGGATTTGGCTGGATGAGTCACTCGGCACCAATAGCACTGTGAAAAGAAGGAAGCAATGAATAAAAAGCTAAACAGCTGGAGTTCACAGATGTCAGAGTGTTGTGTCTAGGTCACGGAAACCGTCGCTGGCGGCACAGACGATGGCCATGTCTTTTCTTAGCTGCTGTTTTCGTAGTGACTACTCCCAACTCAACTTCAACTGCCTGCAGCTCTTGATGTCTACGAAGCCTGGGGTTTACTGCAAACCATAATCTAAAAATACGCTCTCCTTCCGAAACTCATTGACTTACCCCTCTCCTTCATCAATCATATCCAGGCAGCCACCATATCCGGCGATCTTTCCTTCAAGATGTATGAAATGTTTCTTTCTTCTAATCTAACCCTTCCTGCCTGCCCCTCCACCCCACACAGTCCAAGCCAGGCCCTCTGCAGATCCCTGCAGCAGCCTCCTGCCTGGCCTCCCTCCATTCTGCCTCTCCCAGCACACATGTCCAAGGCCAGGCAACACCTACTGAAGCACGTACCCAGCAGTTGAAGTTTCCTGATCCAAAACATTCAGTGGGACAACAGAAGTGAGTACCAAGCTGGACCGGCCCTACTGGCTGGGGGAGAGGAAACACGACCCTAGTCAGCTGGGTGGTGAGACAGGGTGCACACCCTCCCTGGCAAGCACACGAACAGTAACAGGCCATGCTATTCGGAGCAGTTAATGTCTGTGCCATCGTCTTCATGACACAAGTGAGAAGCCAGGCTAGAGAAATATAGTCCTGAATTACATTTTAGTCACTGTTTTCAAGACAACTGAAAATAAAAACATTTCGTTATTCTTGTTTAAAAAAGGAAAAAAGATGGTAAGGAACTGGCATGCTTCTCCCCACGACCTGAACACCTACATTTGTCACATAATAAATACATTATTTCCGGTACAGAACCTAGCACTGGTTTAAAGATGTTACTATGAGAAATAAACATGCCCTAGGAAGGATCTTAGTTCACATCTTAGACTGCCTTTCTGAACATCAGGCATTGGCAGAACGTCCAACAATGTCAACGTTACAGATAGGAATTTTTAATATCAATTCATATAATGGAATACTTGCACTGTTAAAAAAAAAAAAAAATGTGCATGCTCCCTATATACTAATAAAAAGCTTACTCTGGCCAGACTGGGGTGTGGGCTCAGTCGTTGACCTATGAACCAGGAGGTCAGGGTTGGATTCCCAATCAGGGCACATGCCTGGGTTGCAGGCTTGATCTCCAGAAAGAGGCATACAAGAGGCAGCCAATCAATGACCCTCTCTTATCACTGATGTTTGTATTTTTATCTCCCTTCCTCTCTCTGAAATCAATAATAAAAACATTTTTTTTAAAAAAAAAAGCTTACTCTGATAATATTGCTGAGTTAAAAATAAAAGGCAAGCACTGGCCAGGTGGCTCACTCGGTTGGAGCGTTGTCCCGTACCACAAAAGGTTGTGGGTTCGATCCCTAGTCAGGGCTAGTATGGGAGGCAACCGATCAATGTTTCTCTCTCACATCAATGTTTCCCTCTCTCTCTCTCTCTCTCTCCCCTCCCCTTCTTCTCTCTCTAAAACATCAATAAAAACATATCCTTGGGGTGAGGAATAATGAATGAATGAATGAATGAATGAATGAATAAATGACAAGATGTAGAAGTGTTTTTAGTGCTGCCTTTCAATAAAATTGGGGGAGGGCATAGAAACACTCTGGATACATAAGAGGCCTAATGGGGGTAATCTGTGCAGGGAAGGGGTCTGAGCAATATTCTGGACAACGC